GCTCAGGTTTCTATTCTATTAAATGGGGGGGAAATGAAATTAATATCTAAGGAATCTATTATTTTGTAAATGTGACTGACTCATGAAATGTCTGCTATAAAATCTCATTGTTCTTACAAGCTCTGAAGCACACTATTAAAGTTTTTTCTTCCTGTAACATCCTGTGTTATTTTATCTCTAGATTCTCTTGATGCCTTTCTTTCAAGTCTAAAAAATTGATAAGAATCTTTTAATTAGAAACTAAAATGCTATATATAGTGGTAAATAGAATTTTTTTACATCAAAGGGCAAACATATAAATAGGATTTTCTCCTCAATTGTTTTTATGAGAATGTTCCTTTTTGACAGAAATTTTTGTAATCTCTTCCAGCAAAACTTATTAAAAAGCATCCAAGTGCTTTATTAAGGCTACTTCTCAAGGAAGAAACATGTTATGAGGAATTGTACATTGCATCACAACACATTTTTAATTATTTTTTCTCATTTTTTGAGGAGAAATATTAGTCATCATGTTGCTGTGCTGCTTTCAATACTCAGCTAATTATACACAATGTGAAGAAAATGTCTAAATTTTTCCATTTCAAATTCTTGTTAGTTTGATTATTCAAAAAAGTGCATAGCTTGTAAATGTTTCACTGGTGGTTAAGATATTTGCCCTATTTGAAATGAAAATCACTGGAATATATTTAAGGTCCCCTCCAGAGCAGTGCACTGATGTTGATCTGCAGAAATGTGTTGTAGTTGATGTACACGTGTTCCCTTCACAGATGCTCATTCTTTGGGGCCAGCTTCTGGGGAAAGCTGATCCCCAGCAGGAGTACCGAAGGGACATCATTATCCTGTTGTTTCTTTATAGTAATAAATAGCCATATTTGGTACTGGTTGTCCATCTCCTCTATTGCTGCAGTGATCCCTGAGGCATGGAGCAGGTGATTTAAAATAATTGGAATCACATTGCTCTTGGTTTGGCAGGAAGGTTTGCATACCACTTTTGTTTTTGTAGAATTCAAGCTTTTAATCTTCACTTTAAATAAAATATCTTTGTGCTTAGTGATTTGAAATGATCTTTTCCACTCCATTTACTCTTGATTCCGTTCAGGCATTCACTGACATGCTCAAACTTCACAGTCTTTAACAGAAGTTAGCTCTGCATAGTTGCATTAGATGCATGGGGTGCTGAGTATTTTCTGTAGTGGGCCTTGCAGGTCAGTGCAATTTATGCACCACTAAGTGCTGCACCTGAAACAGCTAATTTCAGAGCTGTTGTTGGTATTTTTCTTCTTCAGTTGCATGACATAAAAATTTCAGAACCTTTTGATCATGTCGGAGGCATTGCATTGTGCTCTTCCATTGTGTTCAGTTCTCCTTTCCTGGCTCTTGTTCATGTTCTGCACTGAGTGCATCTTCTGGTCTCCAGGACCTCCCCTTTCATGACTCAGTTGTCAGCCCCTGATGTGTCAAGCTGATGGTTGTTGCAAAAGCCTCACTTTTTCTGAGAAATTTCCTGGGTTTGAGAACTGAATGATGTAATTGATTGTCTTGCTTTTGTGGTTTAAAGAAGGCTTTGCGGGTGTTTTTCTTGTTACTTCTGCTTGACTGAGGTGGTGTAGATGGAAAAGTACTTATTTCCTCTCTTTGGGTTCTTTTATTGATGTATGTCCATGAACATAAGCTCCTGGCCATTTTACCTATTCACTGAGCAGGCAGGTAGATGTGCTTAAAGATAATACAGACCCAAGACTTTTTGAAATCCATTTCTTTATTTTGTGGTTCTTAACCAGATATTTGGAAGAACTGTTAACCTAAAAAGTGCATTGTCTGGAATTCTTAAGGTGCAGTTTTTTGCTACGGTAGATGAGATTTTTAGCTGAAAGGGGGAATCTGTCTTCCTCTTCATTCTCTCTTGAGTGTCCCCTTTGACTTGTTACTATTGCATCTACCTTGTGGTTTATTTAGATCAGTTTATTTGTCTGATGAAAACCAGGCCCACTTCAAGTGGTGATGAATTTTCTGCTGCTGATCTGACTTGCTGGCTAGCCACATGAGCTGACAAGGGAGAGTTGGTGAGAAGACATTGCCAGGATGGGGCAGAACTGTTTGCTTTCAGCAGCAGCCCACAGTGTGCAGTGTGACAGTGCTTTAGAAACATGTATCAGGAAGGGATGCAATTTCTGGAAAGGGATGAGTTTCTCAGCCTATCTAGAGTGTCTTGGTATCTTGGTAGGCCTGAAATATCTTTGAAATACACTTGATTGCACTTGAGTTTAAACTTAATGGTAAGTTTCTGTGTTTGCATCATGTGTCTTGGGGAGTGGTTACATCTGTGTAATGTTTTTCATATTAATTTATTCATATACCTTTTCTCCCTTAAAACATTAACAGTTTCTGTCAGGAAACAACTGTGGTCCAGGGTCACCTTAGAAATACATTAGCTTGTAGTTGTTTATCTTAGAGAAGTGTTCAAGAGAGGAAATCTCCCAGACCAAATCGATATGGTGCAATATACCTAGCAGTTAAAAGCCAAACCAAGCTGAAACAATAGAATATTTTTTACTCTGATAGTCTCTGAAGTGGATATAGTTTAAAGACAAATGTTACATTTAATATATGTGCATTTAGAAATCCAAGCTAGGCTTTTTATATTCTTTCTTACTCACTAATTCTCTTCTGGTACCAGCATATGGTCATATAGAAGACTTGGTTATACTTTATATAGAGATCTAAATGATGGCATATGTAACTATGTTGTTAACAAGCAGGAATAATAAAATGCTGTAGAATGTTCTTTGCATTTAATAATGTAATGATGAGAATCAAAAAACTGGGCTCTCATTTCTCCTTTGATCAGAATGCAGTTGTTGCAGTGCAGGTGGATGAATGAAGGTTAGCTAAGGTCAGCAAATGGGCTGCAGTGGAACAAGGGAATGACAGAACTGCCACTGGTCCCTTGTACCTTACTTAATTCTTGGCCTGTCACATCCTGTGAACAGCAGCCTGAAAATTCACATCTAGCAAAAGAAGATGAAATTTTAAAATCACTCAAAGCAGACTCTGTTGCCTGAGAGGGGGAAAAGAAACAACAATGGTAATGTGATAATTTGTTGATGGTTGTTTTTGCTGTATTTATGGTTGCACTAGCTACTGCAGGCCAAAACCAGCTAAATGATGGTCCTGCATGTGGGTGCCATATGTGCTGTGGGTGTCTGCACATTCTGTGGGTGTCATTACAGATGCCAGCTGGATGTGTATTTTTTTGTTTGTTTATTTGCTTTTTAATTTCTTTATGCTTTATAGATACATATATATACATACATATATATATTCATTTGGTCAAAAATGGTACATTTTTCATAAAAGATGATAAATTATCCAGAAATTACAAGAACCACTTAGCAAAGACCTGGTAGCCTGTGTTACAAAGCAGGTTAGATGTAGTGGGGATTCACAAAAGGATATCTGACACTGAGTTATATCTATTGAGGTGCCTTCTAAAGAGCTTTCCAGTTTTACTGCATCCTTCTGAAGTGTGATGTAAATGTGTAGACTTTCTTGTCATGCAATTTTGCGTGCATCTCCACAGTAGTGACACAGCCAGGCATTTTTATAGAGGGCCTTCAGCCTGAGCATTGTCTAGTAAGAGAAACTGTTCTGACTTCTGGGTTTTTTAAAGGATTCATCTGTTTGTGTATATGTATTCATGTTGTTTTCTTTTTTATTTATTAATACTTAGGCTTATATATGTAGTCATAACAAGAAAATTATGTTGTAGAGCAACTAAAAGATGTAATAAACAAAAATGTCATGATTCCCCCAACTTTCCTTTTCATTGCTGCTGTACTTTTCCAAGGAAGCTGGTTTTCTCAGCTCTTCTGGATTAAATGCCTATTGAAAGCCTGCCAGTAGTTTTAGAAAGAGTTAACTTGATGATTCACATTATCCCGTCCCGTGTTTCCCAGAGTTTTAAAGAAATAATTTGTTACAGTCGTACTATCCTGTATTATATTTATTTGGAGAAGTATGGTTTAGAGTAGCAAGTGGCTCTTCAGCATTTCCTCTTAAGTCCTCTGTCTACATGCTTCAAATCTTAATGTGCACATTTCAATGGAAACAAAATAGGAACAAAGTTGATACTGTTCCAAAATGTCTTCAAGTAGCTTGTCTAATTAATTAGTTAATAACATGGCTGTTCTGTTTCTTGGGTGTTTTCAAGTCTAGAAACAAGTGTTGCTTTCTATTGGATAGCTGAGTATTTTCTTCCACTATTACTAGAAAAAAACTCTTGTTTCTGGCAGTTGGGAGTTATGAAGTGTTCCCATGTTTGCCTGCTATAGGACTGAATTAAAGGAACTAGTTTGGGGAGAATATATGGTAAAGAAAAGAAGAAAAGCAAGCAAACACACTGTTTCTCTACCACTCGTTTTTCTTTGGTTTTTGTAGCTGCTCAAGAGTTTGGAGTTTTGGGAACCTTTTAGAAGTTTGTGAGTCAGAGCTTTACAGAAAATGCAGCCAATTATATTTTAGCCCATTGCTATCCCTTGTGTGAGAGTCTGCGTGAATGAACAGTTTCTTTCAGGCAGTGTTGGTGAGATCCATGAGAGTACAGTGGTCTGACCAAGCCCATAATGTCTCAGCTGTTCTCTCTGGTCTGTGTCCAGAGTCAGTGTAAGGAACATGTGAGCCAGGGCAGGTCTCACTTCCCCTTGCTGGGTTTTGCCCAGGATGGGAATTTGAAGAGCTGTTTCCTATGGCAGAGATGGGTTAAGATGGGGGGCTGCTCTGAGTCATATATTGTTTTGTTCGTAATTTTTGAATAAGTCTTATAGATTCAGAAAACAGATCTTTTATTAATTATCATAGAATGCTTTGTCTGTTTCAATGCAATTTTATTTGATTAATGACATATTTTTACTTACTGTATATATTTTGTTTCTGTATTCTCAAACCAGTACAAAAGGTTTTACCATGACTAAATAATAATTCCAGTCTTTTCCATATTGCAGTCTACCCACATTGCTCGAGCCAGCTTCCAGGTTGATGCTTTTGGATCATCTTTCATCTTAGATGTGACACTAAACCAGTAAGTAGTGACCGTATCTTAAACTACATTTGTCCAAGACCTGGTGTCTGTGAAATGGAATTTTCCAGTGGAGTTTTTAAGAGGATGTATTATAGCAAAAATATTATATTAGGTATTGAGTTAATTTGTAGTGGAATATTTTAGGTTCTTCTGTTACTTTCTTGAGTAGCATTGTAGGCTTTGATATTGCCATTGTTACTACTTGGTATTTATTCTGGTATAACTAACATTTTAGTAGCATAATTTCAATTCACAGAATCACAGAATGGTTCAGGTTGAAACCTGATGGGTTTCAACCTGAACCTGATGAGATGACCTGTGGGTCATCTCATCCAACCACCCTACCCATGCAGGGTTATCCCAGAGCACATGGCACAGGATTGTGTCCAGGTGGTTCTTGAATATCTCCAGTGAGGTAGACACTGGATTGTCTCTCTGGACAGTCTGTTCCAGTGCGTGGTCAGCTGCACAGTAAAGAAGTTCTTCCTCATGTTCAGGTGGAACTTCTGAGCATCAGTTTCTGCCATTTGCATCTTGTCCTGTTGCTTGGAGCCTCTGACAAGAGCCTGGTCCATCCTCTGGGCACCCTCCCTTCAGATACTTGGAGACATTGGTGAGGTCCCCTCTCCTTGTCTCTTCTCAAGGCTGAACTGGCCCAGCTCTCTCAGCTTTTCCTCCAAAGCGAAATGCTCCTGTCCTTTAATCATCTTTGTTTCCTTCTGCTGGACTTGCTTCAGGAGCTCCATGTCTCTCTTGTCCTCAGGAGCCTAGAACTGGACACAGCACTCCAGGTATGGCCTTGCTTCTGCCAGTTTACTGTAAAGGCAAATGACAAACTTCACATGATATTAAAAGGTGGATTTCCCAATAACTGGTAGCTCTGAGCATTTTAATAACCAAGCATAAAATACTGAAGATACATCAATTACACAACAGCTAATCCTCAAAAAACAATGAGTACTTGGGAATGAAGTTTCTCCAGATGTGTTTACAGCCTATTGGAACAGAGAAGCATTGTAAGGCAGTAGCACTGTGAACTTAATGAGGAAATATTGAATAATAGTAAACTTACAGTGTGTGGCTTTCACTAATGAGTTTTGGAAGTAGTCTTTCAGCATAGCTGTTTTAACATAGGAGTTGCTTTGCTTTTCTGTCCTGAAGTGAAACAAGAATAAATAATAGAGTAAATAGAAATGTTTTGTTAAGTAATTAATCTTCTAATAATTGAACATAATGTTTTGTGGTTTGGTGTAAGAGTTTGCATGCAATTGCTGCAAGTTTTTCTGCTGTAAAGATGACCTGTTCAGGTTGCAGTGACACCCACTAAAATTTCACTTGTAGATAAAATTGAAACAGTGGCAATTTCTTTACATGCACTGACATTAGTTAAAAAGCACACGTGAATCTCTGGTGGTTACAGACACTGGAGACACTCTGCTGCTGGAGGGAGAAGGCAAGAGGCTCCTTTAGAAGTATGATTTTATGACAACTGTATTTTAAAACAGCTATAGAGGAAGAATTTCCTCCTGAAAAGCACCAAATCCTTGACACTGAAATGTTTCTTGGAAGTAGAAATTTTGTATACATATTTATACCATACTGAAAGTAGTCTGCACAAACCTGTTTTAATTTGGCAGGTTAATGATGTGGTCACAGTTAGTTTCTAAAATATCAGCATTGTCCTTAGAGTATAAATTTTAGGTCATCTTAAAAAAAGTAAACACATTTACTATGAGAAGAGAAGTTAAGGCTTTGATTTTATGAGCTGCAGCTTTGTATGTGTAAGGAAACTTGTAGGTAGAATTTTTGTATATGTACATAGAAACAGAAACATATGTTTAACATTTTATATTTTGAGCTGAGTGCCATTTTTATTCCTTTATTATCTTAGATGATATTGCACAAGTATGTGTATGGTGAGGCTGTCAAAATTCTTTCTTATTGTTCCTAAGAGTGCCAGAATCCAACTTAATATTAACTTTTCTTGAAGAGCTTCACTTTTTATAATGTGAAAGGTGTTCTATTACAAATTGTGCAAAATGAAAGAAAGAAAGCTGCAAGGAAATCAAGATGTTTGGCTGCTATCATGATATCTAAATCACTTTTAAACTACTTCTGAAATATCATTTGCAGATCATCAAAGAAAAAGAGGCCCAGGTACACCAGAGAAATATTTAAAACATATTTTTAATTATCATTCCTGTGAAAAAAAAATCTTTCATTCAGAAGGTTGTAAATATTTTTTTCTTTTGCAGTTCTTACTCTCCATATTATATCCTGTGTGTATATTTAGACCATAGTAGCTCTATAGTTGAAAAGTTGTTAAATTCTTGTAAGCAGCTAGGTTCAAGATTTTAGTTTCCTCTGAAAAAAATATCAGTTTAGTATTCATAACTGAACCTCTGCTGATGGCTAAAGCATGCTGAAACAGGCCCCTGTAGTAAACTTAGCTCTTATGTGCAATATGCATTTGAGAAATGATAAAGGAGGTATGGGGGACACAGGAGGAGAAATAATTAAAAATACATAGGTTTTCAGAAAGGAGGGCCACTCCTTGCCTATGTCAGCCTCCTTTCTTTCAGTCTTCATGTTGTTAACAGCTTACTGTACCTGAATATACATGAGCATCATCTGTAGTTACAATAGCAGTGGAAGGTCAGTCCAGTGAAAGTGTTCATTCTCCTATATGTGCCCCAACTTATAGAGGAAAAAAAGTTCAAAATTAAAATGAGACTAGCAAACAGGGAGCTTAAAAAAAATCAGAAATTAAAATATGCTCCTGACTCCAGATGTTTTTTGCAAATATTTTTTTCTTCTTTTGCTGCTTTCCATGTGGGTATTGTTTTCTCTATTCTTTTCAAATCCGTATTTTTATCTGTCAGATTCTCTGTTCCCTCTGCTGCATTTGCCTGTGCTGTTTTATACATACTCGTGTTGTGTACCCTATTTTATTTTAGATTCTGTTGTGTTGGTATATTTTCCATCTCTGTTCTTATTCAATTCTCTAGAGCCACACATTTCTTAGTCAACTTTTTCTATCAGGAATGGTTGTCCATTTAGCCACCACCATAGGTACTGCACAAATTTCTGATTTTTCTTTTACTGTTTCCTTGCCAACTTTCTGTACACTCACAGTTGAGGCTCACAGAAATGTTCAGTGTCCTACTTTTCTCTCTTCCCCCATTGCCTGATTTTACCACTTCACTTCCCTTGCTGCTATTGATTTGGGGTGTTAGTTGAAGCAACTTTCCCTTCTTCTGCCACCTCCCAGAACAGTGGCCTGCAACCAAAGGCTCACTGATTTCTGCACTGAAACAAGCAGCAAAGGTACAGGAGCTGGGCAGGAAAATAAAGACGTGAACCTTACATCAACATTTCACACATCAGGAAAGCTGAGGCTCAGGACAGGAGCATTCTGCAAGTCCTGGATGCAAATGAGAGGAAAGAAATGAAAAAAATTTCCAATTGGCATTAAAGTGTGGTCATTTAACACTGAAATCAGTGTGCTTTCTTCTTGCTTGTTTTGGATCTCAACTAGTTGTGAATGCACATTTGTTCACATTAAATGCAGATGTAAAATATCCTGAAGTATAACCTGTAATGATAATAGAAAGTAATAATAAGCTGTTAAAATGATAGTGTAGTGTCCCTTTTTTAGTTTTCCTTAGTGATGGTGGTATTTTCTCCATATATATTGCTATTCTTTTGCCCTCCTTTTTTTCCCCTGAGTTGCCATAGTATTTCTACAATGAGCTTTTTTCTAAGATACAGTGTTTCTTTTTAACTTTTCTTGCCTATTCAATTGCCTGTAGCATTTAAAAGGAGCTTTCAGATCAAATTAGCTGTATTTTTAAGAGGTTGAATGCCTTAGGCAGAGGTTAGGGATACATTAGTGACTGTGGTGTGTTTATGAGTCTGTTGCCTCAGTATCTCTATGTGTTCTGGGCTGCATCTAACGGAGCTGTTTTCTCTGGCTATCCTGATTAGTGCTGCCTCCATCAATGGGAGAGCCAGGGCAGGGCTGCCCAACAGCACAGACAGGTGCTGATCCAGCCTTCCCACCCTCCACAGGTGTCCAGCTCCAGCCACTGACCCAGACCTATGCAGGAGTCCCGCAGCAATGAAACGTGCTTCCTCATTTCTTTATTTTAGTTCCTTCCTCTTGAAGTTTTTAATGCTGTGGTGGCATCTGTGGCTCAGCAAATGGCTGTTTCTTTTTTCGTGTAGAATATTTCTTCTTAAATGTAGTCATGCAATCAATTACACTCTCATCTTGTATTGTAACTATGTGATTAATTAGCAGAGCTTATCAGGACATGGGATGCGTTTCCCAAAGCCTCCTTGAATCCTTTTTGCACACATGTATCTGTCTTAGAGTATCTGAGCCAGGACATGTTTGCTCATGGGTGAAGCAGCTGAGACCTGATGTGATAATGGCCCAAAACAAGCTGTGGTTGTGGGCTGGGTTTGGAAAGAGAGTGCTGCTGGATGGGTAGCTGGAAAAACTGTAGTTTTTGTGCTTGTCTGGAGGCTGGATGGGCTCTGACATGGGATCACCCCATGTTCACTTACTGGAAACCACGATGGGCAAGAAAGATGATGCTGCAGCATCACCCTTTGTATAAAGGCTGTGGTGTCTCAATCACGGAGACAAGCAGAGTATTTCTTGTGTGTGAGTTTGAAATGTGGTCACTTCTGAGATGCAGTATGGCCTTCAGAAAGATCCCTGAAGCATCTGACCGACCACCAGTCTGTGACTTGGCTTCTCATGTAATAACAAGAAGAGCCCTCCCTGATCATGTCCTTTTTTTGTGAGAGTGAACACATTGATGGCCTGGGATCTTCAGGTTTGTGGTGGGGGGGAAGTGCTCTGAAGGGTCACAAGCATAAATAAAGATTTCATGCTTATATTCAGTGCTTCAGGACTGCACTGTCCTTCCTGGTGACAGTCACTCATTAGGATGGAGCAAAACCATCAGCTGCTTTCTCTTCCTGCAACA